GTAAACCTGTAACTTGAATCGAAGAAGAGAAGGAGCTTACTTGGAGTTGTATTGTGTCAGTGATGCTTTTCATTTTCTCCTTTCTCTTTTATGTTTGGGGTGAGTGTCATGTGGGCTAAGTAATGGTTTCAAAACTTAATTTAGATTAAGCTAAATTTCCACTGAGCTTGTGACAATGTTGCTCGGAAGTCTCCTTTGTAAGTTTAGTATCTTTTTTCTTATCTTTCTAATGTATTTCCTTACGCTGTTTCTGTTTTCTGTTTTAACATATGGTACATAGCTGAAAGTCTAGAGGAATGATATCCTGTGAGTGCCTTGAGGTGTTGTTGGAAAACTAGAACAGTAAATCCTCTGTCTTGGTCAAGTATGCATAAGGTTGCTGATGATTGTGGAAGAATGTTTCCACTTCCTCTGTGGGCAAAGTACTTCACAATAATTACTTAACGGCTATTTGCTCTTTTGGGTAGTACTTCTGCTGTTGGTCATAGCTAGTAACTAGATCCTGAATGATGGATTTATTTTGTGATAGAGTTTTTTAATTCCACTGTTGCTCTGAGAAGCATCGCTGGGCATTGCTTTATCACTACAGTTTAAGTTATGTTCTAAATACTTAGACATAAGAAACTCTGTTGCTTGTGTCTGAGAAATCATCCACACTCCATGCTGGTTGTATTTGGTTTTATTGTCCGAACAGAATATCTTACTGTATTGTGTAATGTTTGCTGCAAAGATATATTGCTTACAAGAGCTTCAAGAGTTTGAGGAAAGTGTCTGAGCTCTGTTGTAGAATCAGTTAATCTGTCTTCATGTTCTAGAACTCCTGTCAATGTTTGTTTAATCTCAGAAAAATTATTAACACTGCATGTTTTGTGTGAAATCGCTTGCCTTTAAAGTACAATAGATACCCACAGACTGATGTTTGGAATCACTAATGACTTTCTTGTTTATGCTTATGTTTGAAGTGACCACATCTTGTATTCAATACTCTGTAATCTGAAAAAAGTAAGATCATTCATCCTGGTTTTTTAATTAGATCAGCATCAACAGTTGCCTTGCAACATTTTCCAGATGTTCAGATATTCTTGTAGAGTTGCACTGTCCTTTCTTTATTGTTTCTCCCTTTACTGTTTCTCTCTACATCTGTTTGCAATTTCACTCACTTCTGTAGAAGTGAATTTTTTGCATTTAATATGATCAGTCATCTTTACCTGTTTACCTCTACTGAATACTGTTGTCCTGAACTGTTCGTTCTTTGAGGCTTAACCATGGCTTCTACTTTAACAGATTGAAATGAGCCTGCTGAATTTGAGAATCTACTGTTATGCCTGTAAATTCATGATAGTAGGTGGGAAAACAGAAATCCATGTGATATTTGAGTAGTCATAATATTACGATTTAGGTATGTGTTCAACAGGAGGGAGTATGAGTGAATATAAATCAAATGTAACGTAAGCAAAAGATGATAACAAAAATCAAGCACTAGGGATGGACCTAGAAGTCAGATAAAGTCATGGAAATAACAGTGAAAAAAACCAAAAATACAACCCAATAACCTAGGCTTGCTTTTTATCCCTTAAAAAAAAAAAAGGCTTATATCACAAACCTGCATTACAGATAATTTGCAGGATGCTTGGGGATCTGTCAGGTTCAATAAGCAAATAAGTAATCTATTGCTTCACCTGTTTTTATATGGGTTGTCATCTAAACTAGTGGATGCTACAGAGTGAGGCTATTACTCAAAGACGTAATCAGTGGGGTCAATAACCATATCATTCGTCAGAAGACAGTGCAGAGTCTGGCCAGGAAGGTGTCAGTGGAGGGCAAGTTTGGGGAAGATGTTGGGTTTTTGAATTTGGTGATCTGGGGGATTTTATTAGTGCTAAGTAGCAGGTGAGAAAATATGCCTATTGGGGTTTATTAGAGGGAGAGAAAGAAAGTGCATGCATACGTGCCCTTTTACACCTTGTTGGTCTCCCCTTAGCAACTGGGTATCTCCAGAGGCTGGAGTATCTCTTTTTTGCATTTCCAGTCCACTCTTTGTGACGTGGAAGACGGGGAGAGACAAGCGGCTTCGTGGCTGCATCGGGACCTTTTCAGCCATGAATCTTCACTCAGGACTCAGGGAATACACATTAACCAGGTAATTTGAAATGAGTTTAATTTTCTGAAGATCTGCAAGGATTCAAAGTTAAGATGCTGGATCAACATGGTTCAGTTTTATGTTTCTCAGTAAAAGAAACCTGAGAAATGTATCATAGGGTAAAGTAATACATCAGGACTTAGTGAAACATCTTTGCAACTGGTGAATTTTGGTTGATGTTTTAAGGCTAATATGGCACCTCTCCTGCATACTAATGCTTTTGACATCTTATATATGTAGCACATAATTTGTCTCCAGCTGCAGTAAGTGGGGGACAGCACCAGGAAGCTTGCACTAGTGTGTGCATTCATCATTACAGTTCATCAGATTAGGAGGTGATGCAGATAACTTTCTCTGCAGTAGCAAAGAGAAACGGTTTCAGAGTGGCATAACCAAAAAGGGAATAATCGAGCATCTGACACTTTAATGTGGTGCTTGCATTAGGCAATATATCTTCTCCTTCCATTAGTGCACTTAAGGACAGCAGATTTCCACCCCTGACCCGCGAGGAGCTGCCCAAACTCTTCTGCTCTGTCTCCCTCCTCACTAACTTTGAAGATGCCAGTGACTACCTGGACTGGGAGGTGAGAACAGGTGCATTTGGAACTCTGCATCATTCTCGTTCCGTTCGGGTTCGGGTTAGTACATGGTGATATGTCTCCTTTGTTACAGAGGTGTTTGGGGGTAGAAGGAACTGAGAATAGAAGAAACAGGGCTGGAAAACTACGAGGGAGGAAGAGAATGAGCTAGCAGTGTGCTTTTGGTTGGAGGGGATCTGAACGGGAATAAGAGAGACATGAAAGTGTTTTATGGATTTGGCCCAATAGGAGATGGGTGTAAATACATACGTACATACAAATCTGGGAAGTATTTTGATGCTGGGCATAGGAACTGGGAATAAAAAGTAGTTAAGACCAAAGGTATTCTTTTTTAGGACCTTGTCCATGGAAGTGTATTTAGTTCAAGAAGGATTAAATAGACTTTGTGGTTGGGCTGGTTTAGGCGTGACTGTTGTAGAGATCCTGTCTTTCTTGCCCAACATAAAAGACGGAAAGCTGTCAGACTTCTGACAAGACTTACTTCAGGAGAATTAGCAAGGAGATTGGTTAGGCTCGTCTGGGAGAGGTAGCAGAGGTCCTTTATGCTGCTAAGAGCAGTTTGTGAGTCCTGCCTGGCAAGGATAGTGAGGAAGAGAATGTCCTTATCAAAGCAAAAGCCAAACTGGCCATAGAGAGATACACAGTGTTTTGGGAATGACAGCTCGGTCATGGACTCAGTGCTAGCAAACACCTCTTATTTGGCTATTCATTTCCATCTATAGGTTGGGATCCATGGGATCAGAATAGAGTTCATCAATGAGAAAGGTGTCAAACGCACAGCCACGTATTTACCTGAGGTTGCTAAGGAACAAGGTGGGTTTGAGATGGCAGCCAAAAATGTCAACACATTGTGTCACAGGATTGGGTAACAGAAATCTATGGATTTTGTTTTTGGATTGCCATGCTGTCCTCACAGTAGTGCCATGGAACCACCAGGCTTAATCTGGATAACTGACACCTGATACAGCTGCTTGCTGCTGGGTTTTCATTTGGACTTTCTCTCATCCCACATCCGTGTGCAGCTGTTATCTTAGCGTAAAAATGTTCTAGGGCTTAAGAAATAGAGGATCTCAAAGTACGGATCTTCAAGCTTCATTCAGCGTTGCATCTTTCCTCTTCTATGTTTCTCCCACCAACTAGGATAACTGCAGGCTGCACAGCACCAACAGGAGAGTCCCCTTCCTCCTCATTCTTGCTAAAGTAGCATCCTCCAGATGAGGGCAGGAAACAGGGCCCCTCTGGAGCACACTTCCCACTCAAATATAGTAGTGGTCACCATGGTAACTGCTCAAAATATTACCTCCTTTCCTCCACCTAGCAGAGTGGAGTGGTCGCATCCTCCTGGCTCTGGGGCAAAAGACGAAGGTAGGAATTTTAACTCTGCTCTCTCACATAGCAGCGTACTGTGCTATCACTAGAGCATCAGGTTGATCCCAATTTGTCTATGTAAAGAGCTAAGTGTTACCTTATTTTAAGGCTTATGGAGCTGACCTTGAGTGGCACATGAGAAAACAGGTTGGGGTCCCTGCAACAGAAGCAAGGCACAGACCTTTATAAGGAGAGAGGTCATATGGAAAATGGAATTACTGTTCTATAGACCAGTTCCAGTATGAGTTGAAGGTGTTGGCATGTGCAGATAGTGTGCATGCGTAAGACCACGAGTGTCTTAACAGCTCAAAATTTCCTGTTTAGTTGTGTGCTTTTCTAGAGGCCTTTTAATGCATCTCTTATCTTTTTTAAAAACCAGTTATATATTGAAAGATTTCCCTTGCTTCTAATTTTCAATAGACTGGGATCAGATCCAGACCATAGACTCCTTACTCAGGAAAGGTGGCTTTAAGGCTCCGATTACCAATGATTTTAGGAAAACGATTAAACTCACCAGGTAAGTCGATATATTTGTCATCTTTTAATTTTACTTCATAGTGTTTTTTGTGTAATCTAAAATATTTGTGTTTGATATAAGTCTTCCTGCCTCTTTCAGGTGGGAAATACGGTCTGAAAGACAAAATCATAAATGCCACGTGTTAGTATATGGAGTGAAGCACTATATGTTAGGTCTGTGCAGGATTGAAGTTAGCATTTTCTAAGAGAAATGCCACTGGTTTTAATACTATCATCCACATGAAAGATCAAAAGAAATAGAACATTTGAAAATTCAAAAGGTTGATTTTTATGTATCTTCACAATGGATTTCCTTTTCTCAGGGTGCTCATCTGTGGATGGTGTAGCTATTGGGAGGTGACAGCTGTCTCGAAACCAAACCACACTCAAATTTGGCTGGTTTTCTGAACTTGCTTGCTTTTCTATACCCCCCAGCTGTCCTATTGGTTTCAGCTCCCTTTATGTTAGTAAAAATCGGGACATTCTGGTTTTGTATAGAAACCTTAATTTATCAGGTCGTTCCTTACCTCTGGAGAAATGAAGTAGTTGTGCAGGGTTTGGGTTTTTTTTTTTAACAGGAGAGGACAGGATGAAGGTTTTCATTAAAATCTGGTATAAAATGGACTTAGTGCACTTCACAATCACTTTGAAGTTACCTGTTGTGTAGAGTGCTTTAGAAGCACTCGGAAACCTCTGGTGTCTCAGAAGGGACTTCAGGTTTTGTGAATTCTGACTGTACAACGTGGACTAAGTCACGTACATGTGACTCCCCTTTACCCAACTCCATCATTTTCATTCAGTAGCTTTTCAAATGTGAAGATAACCACAGAAGTAAATAGTAGTTAAATACTGGTATTTAGTCTCTGAAATTGAGTCTTGTCCCAGCAAAGTTTTCATGTCCCTTTTTTTCTACAGCAAGTGGATAAAAGAAATACAAATTGATCATTTGTTTCCTGTGTACTACTTCAGGAGTCTCCTTAATTACGATTGCCTTGAATAGGGCTCAACTTTTGGGACATTGAAGCTAATTCAAGCTTAGATGGGATATTCAGACTGCTGTGTGAGGCAATATCAAACAAAACAAAGTAATTTATGAAGTTAGTAGGATTCCTGTTGGTCACTATTTGCTGTGAGCTAAAAGATGATCTGAGGTGAATGTTTTTATGTCTAGTCCCTTCATATTGCAGTGTGTTTATGTTATTTTTTTCTTATGCTGTTCCCATAGGTACCGCAGTGAGAAGGTGACAATCAGTTATGCAGAATACATGGCTTCCCGTCAGCATTGTTTCCAGAATGGCACTCTTCATGCCCCCCCCCTTTACAATCATTACTCCTGACACACGGCTGCATGACCAGTCCCACTCCCCAGTTGCTGCCAACAGCTACGACATCATTGGGGCAGATGCCTCCTCTTCCTGGTCCAGTTACTTCTATTACTGCACCATTTTATGATGCTAGCTTCCGTTGCCAAGTCTGCCTTCCAGCTGACCTGGGGGGAGGATGAGAGCATGACAGAACTTCAGGGGCCCAAGCCTTATCTCAGCCTTCCCTCTGAACGGGGGTTCAGTTGGATTGGGGCTCCATGCCTATGAACTGTCGTGAGGTGCAGAAGACCTCTAGGAGTGAAAGTGCCACTTCGGACTGATCTGTTCTTGTGTATTACCGACACTCTGGAATCTTGAGTTGTTTGTTATGGAAGCCCCCCAGATCAAGTAGGATCATTCCCCTGGCAGTCTGGGCAACGGAGTCCTACATTTTTTAGGTTCTTTTTAATTTTTTTTAATCTCTGGTATCTGTTGTGTACCGAGAGCTGATTGCAGTCCCCACACATCACAGGCGGACATTATGATACGGGGGAGGGTTGAACATCTGGATAGCACCCCATCCTCACAGACAGAAAACACTTAAAGATGTGAAAAGCCTTTGGATGGTATTGCAGATAAATCCATTATTTAAATAAACCCTAGGAGGCTTTAATTACCAGATCCCACTGTAAGATGGATTTCTAGAAATCCTCTTGGTTTACAGTTTTCTGGGTTTTTTTAGACAGTGCTTTGTAACGCAGCCTGCTATGAAACAGAATGCTGTTAGGCCTGTAAGAGAGCAGCATGGCACATGCTGTGCATGCAAAGGACGAGGTACTTGAGTGTCCCTGGACAGTCTGCTCCGTTGCAACCAAGTTTTGTGCCCAAACATCTGTTACAGAGCCTGATTGGATGAGGGATGGAGATTTGCGGTGCATTGGCTGTAGTCATACAAGTGAGACTAGTGACTGAAATTTGTTTAACTTAAGCTAAAGTCTCGGGGACCCTCCTTTTGATAGGACAGCCACTTTCTCTGGTGTGACTATTGATCTTTGAGAACTGCAAGTATTCCAGTTTATAGCAGGCCTGTAGAGAAGAGCTGTGTAGTTTAACTGGTAAGTTATTATCTTACACAGTTTAGTCATTACCACATTAAGGCAATGAGTGGAGAAACCTGTATTACCCAGACTGTGTGAAACTTGTGTGCATTCTGTATTTCTTCTCCCATCATTGATGATTACAAGAAATACTTTCTTCTGAGAGGAAGTGAAGATATCCAGTTGTTATTCTGCAGTGTCATTGAGGGATGTCCTGAAGTCAGTGAGGGATGTCAAAATGTAATTTTTGGGGTCTTGTTCTGTTTGCCAAGTTTCTGTATGGTCAACAATGATTGGGAAAGAAAAAACAAGTGCATAGCAAGAGTAACGGCTGTTTGGTTGCATATATCTTTAAAGCTTTCATGTGTGTGGTAATGATGGCTTTTAAAACTGACTGGTGTTTGAAGCCTGAAATTCTCTCCTGGCATGGCAGGGAATAGGGCTGGTAGAAAGCTCAGAACTGCACGCTGCTGCTCCTTCTGGTCCTAGAGAAGCAAACAAAATTGAGCAGTTTTGCTTCATGTCGGTGTAATGTTCTCCTGCTGGAGGAGAGAGACGTGAGGGAAAGGAGGGGGTCCTATACTGGATAACGGTGCAATATTGACCCAGCTTTCCTCCTGTACTGGGTCATTCTTATAAATTGCCACTTTTCCCTTGTGATGCTGTTGAAAAGCAATTGAAGATTAAGGGATTGTTTCATCATTTCCTGCTGCTGAGAATAAATCGGTCTTGTTACAAACTCGAGTGGTTTGTAATTACTCTCCCAGGTGCCGTGTAGTGATGGGCGAGGGTGGGGTCAGCTCTGGACATGCCATTCACCTTTCAGCTGTCAAACAGTATGATACATAGGGCTACACTCATTACTGTTCAAGTGTTCTATGTTAGAATTTAATTTCTAAAAGGTTTAAAACAAAACAAGCAAAAAAATGGTGCTAAAACTTCACCCCTGAGCACGCTCAGTGAGACTGGTCATGCAGGCATATAGTGCCAGGCTTTTCAACAATATTGTTTCTTTTTCAAATGTTTGCCCTGTTCTGTGTCTTCAACAGTGTATAGTGTTCCTGATTTCATTTTATTTGAATAGGGGATATCTAAAGGGCGGGGTGGGGAGGGTTAGCTGTCATTTTTAAGAACAGAATTTTAGGACCGAGTGACTTGGTTGGTTGAAGCCTGAAGTGGGACAGGTGGTTTGGGACTGGGGAAGTGTAATCCTCTCCCACTTCCATTTCCCCACTCAGTCTGTTTAAGAAAAAAAAACAAAAACAAAAACAAAATTGCCTCTAAGTATGTACTGTGTTCTTGTCTTGTTGCAGTGAGAAAAGAAGTTGGCAAATCAGAAACACTGGTCTGCTGCCTAAGAAACAGGCCCTCTCAGCTTTAGTCCCGTAAGGGTCCAGCTGTAAAATCATTTGAAAGGTGTGTCAATAGTTAGCTCAGAAAAAAATGTATTACAAGGACAGGTGGTCTCAGGAAATAATCCCATTTCTAGATCATTACATGGCAGCTATGCATAAGGATGAAAGAGGTGAACTAGAAATGAAACGTACTTTGAGTTGCCTTGAGATGGAGGCAAGCAAAATCAATGACCAGTTGATGTAAGAGTTTCTCCATGGTTACTTGGCTGGGACAGCAGGTTAGAACTGCTCCTTCTCAAGCAACTGTTACCTGGTTTGATCTGGATTTAACTCATCCTTAGAAGCAAGTGCCTTTTGGTCTAGAAGGGCTTATTCTCATGACAACCATGCCTGAGAAATAATCTCACTGCAATTATGAATTGTCTTTGTTTTACAGTAACTACAGGAGAATGTCTTTGATCACTGGAGTCTGTCAGTGTTGGAATGTTGCCACTGTGAGGTTCTTTATTTTATTTTTTTTTTTCCATAATGTTCAACAGTCAATCTCAGCTGAGGCCATTTCAGTTTGGGAACGTTTTATAGTCAAAATATCACATATCTACAATTTATCAGAAAAAATCTGTAAGAAAATCTAAGAGTTCATTTTAACCTTTGCACAGAATAATTTGTTTTCATAGTACATTAACAAACATCTGCAATCTTCACTGACTATTAGTGCTGTTTTCTGTTTGTATTCTGGAAACTACATGTTGTTTTGTTGGGGTTTTTTTGGTTAATTTATTTCCTTAAAGCAGGAGACCTCTTTTGACCTTCAGTGCAGAGATGTCAGACCAATTCTTTGTATTACACTTGGTTGCCTCCTACCTATATAATAACTTCTGAGTGTAAATAATTGAACTCTATCCTCTAATGAAGTATTGTAGAGAATAAATCATAATGGATAAAGACTATTTGTAGTGTCCTTTTTATATATTTTCTTGCAGCCTTTATGGGAGATAAGATGAAACCTTTCTCATCTAGAAAGATGAACAATACATTACATGTATGAATACCAGACCTCTACATTAGATTAAACGTTCAGAGCCAGGGGGGTTGCCAGAATGGGATGACAGCTGTCTGGAAGTATAAAAGAGTCAAGACAGGCTCAGTAGAAGAAACTGAGGAAAAATAGTAGGAAAACGTAGAAACAAAGATGAAATATGTTTCATTAATAATAGCACAGCAAAGTATCTTTGTATCCTGAAATGGTGTTTGTTTGACAATAACTCTCTGTTAGTTGTCATGATGGGAAAATAAATAAAGCACATACATACGGAATTCTGTATGGTACTGAAAATCTTGAAATTGTGAATCTGGCTTAAACTACCAAAATTGTTCTTGTTCTTTGCTATTTTAAACTGAACTAATGAAAACAGATTATCTGCACTTCACAGGTTGTAGTCCTCAGATAACTTCAAAATTTTATTCAGGAAAAAGAAATGCCCATCTTTCTAGATTCTTACTGCGTATTCTAATGTTTGCTTTGGGACAGGATCAGCTGCTTTGTATAATAGTATTGATGTACATACCTCTGGCTTAAATGTTCGGGGTTTTTTTTCTATAGACTTTCAGGTCGTTGTTCATTTTTTATCTATGGCAGATGTATAAAGAGCCTACATTTCCTGTGTGTGGTTCTTGGGAAGGGCAGCCCTGGATATCGATCAAGAACAGGTACACCCATCAAAACCCTCAACCAAACTGAGGAGGGGGAATAGTTTTGACTTAAATATGTCCAAGACGCTCGTTAACTTCAGTGCAACTACAAAACAAACCTGTATTTTCAGAAAATACATTTCTGGTATTAGTAAAGCTAGGAAGAAAATCCCTATGTAATACGAGGAGTGGGTTGAGGAGGACTCTGGGGCTAATGTGATTTCCAGGTGAATCACTGTAAATTCTGAAGTTAACTGTATAATTAGCTTGCACTGTTGTCATGTGCCCAGGTAATTGATCAAGTATCTTATCTCAGCTTTGTTGCTGGCTAGAATACAGTGACTTATTATTTGTGTGGTTTTATGGCATGTTTTTCCTTACTTGATTGTTTTGGTTTCATGTAAACCAGACTTGGTCAGACATCAAATCTTTGTGCAGTGTGTCATCAGAAGTTCTTTCATGCATGTTGCTTCCTGTAACTGCAGTAACACTCAGCAGCTCACAGTGACAATGAGGCCAGGTAGAAGGGCGTACGTATGACTGAACACTAAAGTAGTCCAGTTCAGACTAAATATAAACCAGGATAATTCTCCAGTAAACGCTTCCTTCTGGTTTTACTTCTGTTTGAAATAAGAAACATGGATTGGCTATTTAGCACTCACTCACTCCCTTCTAAAAACATATTACAGGAAGGTTAGAAATTTCTACAAGATAACTTCAAATGATGAATAGTTGAGGGTTTTTATTCTAAACACACACACAAAAAGTAATTTTTGGACAAAATTTATAAGCTACCCAGTTGTGATTGAGAATGCCACTTCTTGAAGATTAAAATTAAAACTAGCACCCATGTGACTTGATAAATTAATGTTTATACTGACCTCTGTATTCTGAGGATTGCTCTCAAGCTGAATTGTAGTAGTGGGATGGAGCAGTAGGATTGAAAAGTTCCTAAACATTTGCTACAGTCTGGGGAAAGATGACCTGTTAATATGCTTGATGATCACTTCCAAAACACAGAAAGCCCAAAAGACTATTGTTACCATGTTCCTTAAAACAAGTATGTAACTCTACTAGTTGTCCAATATCCAGATTATTAAACCATATTTTTTTTCCTTCTTCTATAGTCAGCTAGGCTACTATAATCAGGTGAATTCTGACATAAGTTATATATTATGCAACCAGTTGATAGTATGTTTAGATGTCATCGTATATGTATTTTAAAACTTAACAGATCATGCAGGAGACAGTTTTGCATTCAGAGGCTTATTATCACTTTATTACTGGTATTAATATAATTTT